TCTTCAACAGGTCCCTTGCAGGCGGGCTTGCGGGTGAGCTGGTAGGAACTTTTGTATTGAATGCGAAGCGGTAGTTAACGGTATTCGCGGTGCGTTGGCCTGGACAAAAGTCTGCGCAGCGCAGCAAAGGTCGAGCGTTGACTTTTGTGTACCATCGCGCCGTCGGCGCTCGCTGCAGATTTCGCGCGCTTCTGAAATCGCACCTAATAGGAGCGTTGCGTGAATTTCGTTTAAGTACGATGGCGCACTTCAGCGCAATTGCTTACTTTAATCGAGTATAACGTCTGGGGATGTGACAGCACTTAACGTGAACTACAAAATCGCACTTTAAAGGACACGTTTTTCGCGATGCGATTGGTCAAAACGGTTTTAATTATAGCCAATGGGTTGGCCGGACCAACTTCAACGAACGCTTGGCAAAAAGAAGATGGCGGGTCAAGGGAGACGAGCTGCATGAGCATGGCATCAATGGCATGCGTTCGTCCTGTACGAGCGACGGCCATGCAGCAGTCCCGAGATGGACGAGCTCGGGACCTCTTCGATGCAGCGCTTGGCTTCCTTGTCTTGGCCACGGACAAAACGCCGGCCGACCGCGTGCTTGATGACCAAGACCGCCAGTCAAACCGGCACGGGCGCGGTGTGGTGTGGTACGGCCGCGACGATGGTCGTACGTTCTGCACACAGATGCAGCGTCGGCGCCGTGATATGTGAAGCGCAAGTCCGAGAAGCGACCGGGCCACCTTGGCAATATGCCCTTGGTCGTAATCACGCATGAATGGTACTTGGTGGTCACCTTGATACGGTTCTTCAACACAGTAAGAAGAAGCATTAGCAGCAGGACAACGACGCGGCAAGAATGACTGGCGAGTAAAGGCACGAGCGACACAAGGGTGGAGCCTGGCTTCCACGCGCTCAAGCACCAAGTAGCCTCGTACGTCGGTCTCCATCGCTGTTTGTCGTCCTGTTGCACTTTGCCAGCGCCATCCCGTGCTGCCCGACTGTCGAGCGCCAG